ATGTCATGTGTTTCTGTTCAGTCCTCTGTGATGTCCTGTGTTTGTGTTTTCTCCTCTGTGATGTCATGTGTTTGTTTGTTGTCTTCCCTGATGTCATGTGTTTCTGTTTTGTCTTCCCTGATGTCATAAATGTGTTTGTGTTTTGTCCTCTGTGATGTCCATTTGCTTCTGGTAGCTTTAAAACTAGACACACCTGGCCACATTTGGACACACCTGGGTACATCTAGACACATCTGGACACAGCTGAGTACGTCTATACACAAAAACTGACCAGTGTCCTTTGTCAACAGATATCTACACAAAGATTTAGTTGTCACAGCAGCAGTTCTGTAAAGGAATGCACCATCAGCAATTATATTTTGTGTGACACAGATTTCTTCAAACACTTCAGCTTGATGTGCTGTTTCTGTATTGTATCTCATTTTTCTGTGTTTAGCCATGACTCCAAACAACTTCTCCTTTATTCTGTCTTTAGCGGTGACACCAGAAACTCCTGAATACTGTGTTTAGCCATGACTCCAACAACTTCTCCTTTGTTCTGTCTTTAGCGGTGACACCAGCAACTCCTGAATACTGTGTTTAGCCATGACTCCAACAACTTCTCCTTTGTTCTGCCTTTAGCGGTGACACCAGCAACCCCTCAATGCTGCGGTCAGCCATGACTCCAGCAACTTCTCCTTTATTCTGTGTTTAGCAGCGACACTAGCAACTTCTCCTCTATTCTGTGTTTAGCTGTGACATCAACAACTTCTCTATTCTGTGTTTAGCCATGACATCAACAACTTCTCTATTCTGTGTTTAGCCATGACATCAACAACTTCTCTATTCTGTGTTTAGCTGTGATACGTGATGCCAGCTTATGTTATATCTAGCCTTGTGATCTGGACATAAAAAGAAAAGTAAACACTAAGTTCTGCTACAAATGAAAGTGTTGTCACTCACCATCCAGCATCCAAAGTTTCCTTATGCTGGAATTCCTGCAGGACACACAGTGCTTCGAATCAATCATCTTCTTCTCCACGTCCTCTTTTACCACTTCGGGTGTCCAGGGAGATGCTGCTTATGCTTTTCTGGCTGCTTCGACCACAGATACATTGTAGTCCTTAGAGTTTCTCTAATGCTATCTTTCCATATTGTTCTTGGTCTACCTACTGTTCTACATCGTTTTTCCATTTGGTATATGCCTTGTATAGTTTAGTATCAGAAGGCCTTCTTTCCAAGTGGGCAAACCTTTTGATTTGCTGTCTTTGTATGTAATTTAGAATTGTTTCTGTGCTGACTTTATCTTGTATGACCTAATTCTTGATTTCATCTCTTCTGGTCACTCCTACAATCTTTCTAAGACACTGTTTTTAAAATGGTTTCTAATTTTTGTTTATGTTTTGTTGTCAGTGACCATGCCTGGCACTGATAGAATAGGGTGGGAATGAATATGCTTTGTATGAGCTGTTTCTTTGTGTTGATTGGGATTGCCTTATGCTGTAAGGGGGGGGGGGGGGGGGGGGGGGGACTAGCTGTCCCAATACTTGCGTCAATCATCACCAGGAATAAATACTGTGGTCAATGATTTCTGTTGTTGTTGTTAAAGATTTGGGCTGAAACATTGGACTGTATCTGTGCATGACTTTCCTTTTACTATCCAGGAGCTTCTTGCCATAGACTGTGCTGTCTTCATTGACTTCATCACACTGCAGTCATCTCTGTTTTCAACTACAATTCTACCACTTACTTGATTTGTTCTTTGTCTACATTTACAGTCGAGTACCATATACACTATGCAAGTACATTGCTAGGAAAGTACCTGCACTGTACAGTACATTGCTAAAAAAGCACCCCTATCCCTCTGTGCATGTATGGTCCTCAGAAAGTACTTTACAATAGATTGTAAAAGTACAGTGCTCACAAAGTCATGTAGCAACAGTCACAAAGTCATGTCGCAACAGTCACAAAGTCATGTCGCAACAGTCACAAAGTCATGTCGCAACAGTCACAAAGACATGTAGCAACAGTCACAAAGTCATGTAGCAACAGTCACAAAGTCATGTAGCAACAGTCACAAAGACATGTAGCAACAGTCACAAAGTCATGTAGCAACAGTCACAAAGACATGTAGCAACAGTCACAAAGACATGTAGCAACAGTCACAAAGTCATGTAGCAACAGTCACAAAGTCATGTAGCAACAGTCACAAAGACATGTAGCAACAGTCACAAAGACATGTAGCAACAGTCACAAAGACATGTAGCAACAGTCACAAAGACATGTAGCAACAGTCACAAAGACATGTAGCAACAGTCACAAAGTCATGTAGCAACAGTCACAAAGACATGTAGCAACAGTCACAAAGACATGTAGCAACAGTCACAAAGTCATGTAGCAACAGTCACAAAGACATGTAGCAACAGTCACAAAGACATGTAGCAACAGTCACAATGTCATGTAGCAACAGTCACAAAGACATGTAGCAACAGTCACAAAGACATGTAGCAACAGTCACAAAGACATGTAGCAACAGTCACAAAGTCAGGTAGCAACAGTCACAAAGTCATGTCGCAACAGTCACAAAGACATGTCGCAACAGTCACAAAGTCATGTCGCAACAGTCACAAAGACATGTAGCAACAGTCACAAAGACATGTAGCAACAGTCACAAAGACATGTAAGCAACAGTCACAAAGTCATGTCGCAACAGTCACAAAGACATGTAAGCAACTATCTCTGGATTATATTTGTGAACAGTAGAAAAAAAGTATGTAGATATTCACCTAGCTACCAATCAAACCAAACTTTGATCACATTATTATCAAAAAAAATACAGAGAATATTACAGTCACACCAGCATACACTTCTGATGACAGCAGTCATACAGAGACCACAGTCAAGTCGCAGCAGTCATACAGAGACCACAGTCAAGTTGCAGCAGTCATACAGAGACCACAGTCAAGCTGCAGCAGTCATACAGAGACCACAGTCAAGTTGCAGCAGTCATACAGAGACCACAGTCAAGTTGCAGCAGTCATACAGAGACCACAGTCAAGTTGCAGCAGTCATACAGAGACCACAGTCAGGTTGCAGCAGTCATACAGAGACCACAGTCAAGTTGCAGTAATGGACCTCAGTAGCAGTTTCTTGGTGTAATAGGATGTTATGTATTCTCAACCTTACCGTATGGTACAGAGACATGGACAATGAACAAACAACTGGAAAATCGTATCAATTCTTTGGAGGTGTGGATATACAGAAGATTAGGTCGTATTTCATGGAAACAAAAGCTATCAAATACAGAGGTATTGAGGAAATTGGGAATGAAAAGAGAGTTGCTAGGTGAAATAAAAAAAGAGACAAGTGAAATATTTTGGTCACATTAAAAGACATAACAGTATTGTAAAGATCATCCTAGAGGGAAAGGTTCAAGGTAGGCGAGCAAGAGGCAGGCAGCGTTACAAGTGAGAGGATAACATCAAGAGATGAACGAACAGCAGTATGAGCGAGTGTACATCAAGGGCAAGAGACAGGGCTTGTTGGAGATCCATTGCAGCCAACCTTGATTGAATAGGATCCAGGTCGTGCAATAATGATAGGATCTTAGTCATTACAATAATGATGGGATCTTGGTCATTACAATAATGATGGGATCTTAGCCATTTTAATAATGATGGGATCTTGGTCATTACAATAATGATGGGATCTTGGTCATTACAATAATGATGGGATCTTGGTCATTACAATAATGATGGGATCTTGGTCATTACAATAATGATGGGATCTTGGTCATTACAATAATGATGGGATCTTGGTCATTACAATAATGATGGGATCTTGGTCATTACAATAATGATGGGAATCTTGGTCATTAAAATTATGATGCAATCTTGGTCATTACAGTAATGATGGATCCCAGGCATTACAACCAAGATAGGATCCACGTTAAATTACATCAACCACATTGGGATCAATGTCAACACTACACACAGGCAAGTGTCATAAACATCACATTTTCACTGCTGCCCTCACATCTCTGCTGCTACCCTCACATCTCTGCTGCTAACCTCACATCTCTGCTGCTACACTCACATCTCTGCTGCTACTCTCACATCTCTGCTGCTACCCTCACATCTCTGCTGCTACTCTCACATCTCTGCTACGACCATCACAACCAGTTCAACTGGTTAACTCAAAGCTAGAAACATTTGCAATTCAATGAGCCAGAAAAACATTTTCAGCTGAACAACAAAGCAACCATTTAGCATTTGTTCAATGAAATAAGTGCTAAAAACACAACCAAACAACCAGTGACAACCATTTTGACCTCAAACAATGAGAGATATCTCTTTAACATCCACAAATGTCAGGTGACATCAGATTTCATTTCAGTGACATTTTCTCCTCATTTATTTATCTACCCTACTCAAATTTACTCTCTCTCTCTCTCTCTCTCTCTCTCTCTCTCTCTCTCTCTCTCTCTCTCTCTCTCTCTCTCTCTCTCTCTCTCTCTCTCTCTCTCTCTATTGTAATGTATGTACCTTGTATGTTTGTTTTGTTTGTTTTAGTATCCAGAAGCCTTGAGTTGTTAACCCTTAGGCTCGGTATTATGGATATCGCAACCTTTCGGCCTTGATTCTATTGTAAATACCGTAAATCTGTGAGAAATGTGGCTTTTTTGCCCACCCCCGGGAAGGAACCCGGACCACAAGGAGTTCGTCGCCCGGTCACCGCGCAATCCGGTTTAGCCAACTACGCTAGAGAGCCGGGCAAATGTACCTTGTATAAACATTTACACATAAATTAATACTACACACAATCACTGCATAAACACACATACACACACCTGCCAAATGTTTAAGCTGCTATATATAGGCATAGATATGAGTATGTATGTCTGAATGTCAACAAGTACACACAAACAGACAAATAATAACAGGTACACACAAACAGACAGTTTCCTCAGGTCTGGTGCAAATCTGCTTCAATGAAATTTGTTGTCTGATTGATATCTGCAGTTATTCCTTGGATGCTCCTCCATCTGCGGTCAGCATCTGGTAGAGACAGCGATCATTCATGCAGCCTTCGAGGAACTCTTCCTTGGTGAGTACCCCATCCTTGTTGGTGTCCATCTTCTCGAAGATCTTGTCGGTTCTCTCCATTGGGGTCTCCACTGGCTGTTCCTTGATAGAGCTGCCTAGCATGTTGTAGATGGCCTGAAAGACAACATCCAACAGCATCAGTCAGTTCATCTCATGCACATTTTATGAGACAATCCGTCTGTGTTCTTGTACACACATTATGGGACAATCCGTCTGTGTTCTTGTACAAACATATGGGACAACCCATCTGTGTTCTTGTACAAACATATGGGACAACCCATCTGTGTTCTTGTACAAACATATGGGACAACCCATTTGTGTTCTTGTACACAAATTATGGGACAACCCATCTGTGTTCTTGTACAAAACATATGGGACAATCCGTCTGTGTTCTTGTACAAACATATGGGACAACCCATCTGTGTTCTTGTACAAACATATGGGACAATCCGTCTGTGTTCTTGTACAAACATATAGGACAACCCATCTGTGTTCTTGTACAAACATATGGGACAACCCATCTGTGTTCTTGTACAAACATATGGGACAATCCATCTGTGTTCTTGTACAAACATATGGGACAATCCATCTGTGTTCTTGTACAAACATATGGGACAATCCGTCTGTGTTCTTGTACACACATTATGGGACAACCCATCTGTGTTCTTGTACAAACACATGGGACAATCCATCTGTTTTCTTGTACAAACATATAGGACAACCTATCTGTTTTCTTGTACAAACATATGGGACAACCCATCTGTGTTCTTGTACAAACATATGGGACAATCCATCTGTGTTCTTGTACAAACATATGGGACAATCCATCTGTGTTCTTGTACAAACATATGGGACAATCCATCTGTGTTCTTGTACAAACATATAGGACAACCCATTTGTGTTCTTGTACAAACATATGGGAAATTCCATATGTTATCTTGTACATACATTTAAGACATTCCATGTGTTATTTTGCTCACACTTTATGGGACATTCCATCTATGATATTGTACAAACATTTGGGACATTCTATGTGTTATTTGTACACACTTTAGGGGACATTCCATATGTTATCTTGTAAATACATTTCAGAAATTCCATCTGTTATCTTGTACACACATTTGGGACATTCCATGTGTTATTTTGTACACACTTTTTGGGACATTCAATCTATGATCTTGTACACACATTTGGGACATTCTGTTTATTATCCTGTACACATTTGGGACATTACATCTAAGACTGCAAACAAACTGTATGAGATATTCGATCTGTCATCGAATACACACATAATGTAACATTAACACTTTACAGACAATGTGTAATTGTAAATAACTACCATTTATGTGTGACTGAAAAATATAAATGGTTAGGTATGCTTGCATGCTATACATTTTTACATGTAATTGCATTTTGCACATGGCTTTTTACATTTGTAATACACACCTCATTTTTTAACCACTTTACATTTCATCTGGTAATGTATAACTACACTAGACAATTGGTAACGTATAACTACACTAGACATCTGGTAATGTATAACTTCAATAGACATCTGGTAATGTATAACTACAATAGACATCTGGTAATGTATAACTACAATAGACATCTGGTAATGTATAACTACAATAGACATCTGGTAATGTATAACTACAATAGACATCTGGTAATGTATAACTACACTAGACATCTGGTAATGTATAACTACAACAGACATCTGGTAATGTATAACTACAATAGACATCTGGTAATGTATAACTACAACAGACATCTGGTAATGTATAACTACAATAGACATCTGGTAATGTATAACTACAACAGACATCTGGTAATGTATAACTACACTAGACATCTGGTAATGTATAACTACAATAGACATATGGTAATGTATAACTACACTAGACATCTGGTAATGTATAACTACAATAGACATCTGGTAATGTATAACTACACTAGACATCTGGTAATGTATAACTACAATAGACATATCGTAATGTATAACTACAACAGACATATGGTAATGTATAACTACAACAGACATCTGGTAATGTATAACTACACTAGACATCTGGTAATGTATAACTACAATAGACATATGGTAATGTATAACTACAACAGACATCTGGTAATGTATAACTACAACAGACATCTGGTAATGTATAACTACACTAGACATCTGGTAATGTATAACTACACTAGACATCTGGTAATGTATAACTACACTAGTGCTACAAACATTCTGAATTAGCCTCAAAGCAGCAACATAATCTGTATATCTTTTACAGACAGTGATGATAACTGAGTGACAGGTCTCTGATCACAGACAGTGATGATAACTGAGTGACAGGTTTCTGATCACAGACAGTGATGATAACTGAGTGACAGGTCTCTGATCACAGACAGTGATGATAACTGAGTGACAGGTCTCTGATCACAGACAGTGAAGCAATTGACAAGTATTCTTCCAGTTCCATTCTGAATTAGCCTCAAAGCAGCAACATAATCTGTATATCTTTTACAGACAGTGATGATAACTGAGTGACAGGTCTCTGATCACAGACAGTGATGATAACTGAGTGACAGGTTTCTGATCACAGACAGTGATGATAACTGAGTGACAGGTCTCTGATCACAGACAGTGATGATAACTGAGTGACAGGTCTCTGATCACAGACAGTGAAGCAATTGACAAGTATTCTTCCAGTTCCAAACATCTTACTCTGTATCAGCCAATGTGGCCAGTATATTTATGGACTGGTACATCTCATTCATGATTGTAATTGACTGAAAACACTGAGGTCTGTGTAGCACTCAGACAAAGTAAGTCATAAAAATGATTCTATGTGATTTATTGATTGCATTTAACAGAATAGCTGAGAAAATGAACATTGACGATTATACACTCCCTCACATCCCAGTTTGAAGGTCAGGTTGATTTTGATTTTGGGCTAATATGTCAAGGGACAAAGCAATAACAGATTTTAATTCTTCAATTAAAAAAAAAAACAACCAGCAATTTCTTTTCCTGTGACAAATTTAGAGTCTAGAACTGCACATAAAGATGCTCTATATTCTCATGCATATTAAATTGGATTCTTTTCCATGCCCATTCTTTGTGCAGAGAACACATCTTCTCGGTTTGGGCCTATCTCCCTAATGTCAATTCTCATGTACTGGGCCCAACTCCCTAATGTCAGCTGTCGTATACCTGTTCCATCTCCCTAATGTCAACTGTCTTATACCTGTTCCATCTCCCTAATGTCAACTGTCTTATACCTGTTCCATCTCCCTAATGTCAACTGGCTTATACCTGTTCCATCTCCCTAATGTCAACTGTCTTATACCTGTTCCATCTCCCTAATGTCAACTGTCTTATACCTGTTCCATCTCCCTAATGTCAACTGGCTTATACCTGTTCCATCTCTCCCTAATGTCAACTGTCATGTACTGGGTCCATCTTCATAATGTCAGCTCTCCTTTACTGGGTCCATCTCCCTAATGTCAACTGTCTTATACCTGTTCCATCTCCCTAATGTCAACTGTCTTATACCTGTTCCATCTCCCTAATGTCAACTGGCTTATACCTGTTCCATCTCCCTAATGTCAACTGTCTTATACCTGTTCCATCTCCCTAATGTCAACTGTCTTATACCTGTTCCATCTCCCTAATGTCAACTGGCTTATACCTGTTCCATCTCTCCCTAATGTCAACTGTCATGTACTGGGTCCATCTTCATAATGTCAGCTCTCCTTTACTGGGTCCATCTCCCTAATGTCAACTGTCTTATACCTGTTCCATCTCCCTAATGTCAACTGTCTTATACCTGTTCCATCTCCCTAATGTCAACTGTCTTATACCTGTTCCATCTCCCTAATGTCAACTGTCTTATCCCTGTTCCATCTCCCTAATGTCAACTGTCTTATCCCTGTTCCATCTCTCTAATGTCAACTGTCTTATACCTGTTCCATCTCCCTAATGTCAACTGGCTTATACCTGTTCCATCTCTCCCTAATGTCAACTGTCATGTACTGGGTCCATCTTCATAATGTCAGCTCTCCTTTACTGGGTCCATCTCCCTAATGTCAACTGTCTTATACCTGTTCCATCTCCCTAATGTCAACTGTCTTATACCTGTTCCATCTCCCTAATGTCAACTGTCTTATACCTGTTCCATCTCCCTAATGTCAACTGTCTTATACCTGTTCCATCTCCCTAATGTCAACTGTCTTATCCCTGTTCCATCTCCCTAATGTCAGCTGTCATGTACTTGGTCCATCTTCTTAATGTCAACTGTCATGTACTGGGTCCATCTTCTTAATGTCAACTGTCTTATACCTGTTCCATCTCCCTAATGTCAACTGTCTTATACCTGTTCCATCTCCCTAATGTCAACTGTCTTATACCTGTTCCATCTCCCTAATGTCAACTGTCTTATACCTGTTCCATCTCCCTAATGTCAACTGTCTTATACCTGTTCCATCTCCCTAATGTCAACTGTCTTATCCCTGTTCCATCTCCCTAATGTCAGCTGTCATGTACTTGGTCCATCTCCCTAATATCAACTGTCTTATACCTGTTCCATCTCCCTAATGTCAACTGTCTTATACCTGTTCCATCTCCCTAATGTCAACTGTCTTATACCTGTTCCATCTCCCTAATGTCAACTGTCTTATACCTGTTCCATCTCCCTAATGTCAACTGTCTTATATACCCTGTTCCATCTCCCTAATGTCAGCTGTCATGTACTTGGTCCATCTTCTTAATGTCAACTGTCATGTACTGGGTCCATCTTCTTAATGTCAACTGTCTTATCCCTGTTCCATCTCCCTAATGTCAGCTGTCATGTACTTGGTCCATCTTCTTAATGTCAACTGTCATGTACTGGGTCCATCTTCTTAATGTCAACTGTCTTATACCTGTTCCATCTCCCTAATGTCAACTGTCTTATACCTGTTCCATCTCCCTAATGTCAACCGTCTTATACCTGTTCCATCTCCCTAATGTCAACTGTCTTATACCTGTTCCATCTCCCTAATGTCAACTGTCTTATCCCTGTTCCATCTCCCTAATATCAGCTGTCATGTACTTGGTCCATCTCCCTAATGTCAACTGTCTTATACCTGTTCCATCTCCCTAATGTCAACTGTCTTATACCTGTTCCATCTCCCTAATGTCAACTGTCTTATACCTGTTCCATCTCCCTAATGTCAACTGTCTTATACCTGTTCCATCTCCCTAATGTCAACTGTCTTATCCCTGTTCCATCTCCCTAATGTCAGCTGTCATGTACTTGGTCCATCTTCTTAATGTCAACTGTCATGTACTGGGTCCATCTTCTTAATGTCAACTGTCTTATCCCTGTTCCATCTCCCTAATGTCAGCTGTCATGTACTTGGTCCATCTTCTTAATGTCAACTGTCATGTACTGGGTCCATCTTCTTAATGTCAACTGTCTTATACCTGTTCCATCTCCCTAATGTCAACTGTCTTATACCTGTTCCATCTCCCTAATGTCAACTGTCTTATACCTGTTCCATCTCCCTAATGTCAACTGTCTTATACCTGCTGCATCTCCCTAATGTCAACTGGCTTATACCTGTTCCATCTCTCCCTAATGTCAACTGTCATGTACTGGGTCCATCTTCATAATGTCAGCTCTCCTTTACTGGGTCCATCTCTCTAATGTCAACTGTCTTATACCTGTTCCATCTCCCTAATGTCAACTGTCTTATACCTGTTCCATCTCCCTAATGTCAACTGTCTTATCCCTGTTCCATCTCCCTAATGTCAGCTGTCATGTACTTGGTCCATCTTCTTAATGTCAACTGTCATGTACTGGGTCCATCTTCCTAATGTCAGCTGTCGTATACCTGTTCCATCTCCCTAATGTCAACTGTCTTATACCTGTTCCATCTCCCTAATGTCAACTGTCTTATACCTGTTCCATCTCCCTAATGTCAACTGTCTTATACCAGTTCCATCTCCCTAATGTCAACTGTGATGTACTGGGTCCATTTTCCTAATGTCATTTCTCTTTTACAAGATCCATCTCCCTAATGCCAACTGTCATGTACTGGATCCATCTCCCTAATGTCAACTGTCATGTACTGGATCCATCTCCCTAATGTCAACTGTCATGTACTGGATCCATCTCCCTAATGTCAACTGTCATGTACTGGGTCCATCTTTATAATGTCAACTGTCATGTACTGGATCCATCTCCCTAATGTCAACTGTCATGTACTGGGTCCATCTCCCTAATGTCAGCTCTCTTTTACCTAGTCCATCTCCCTTATGTCAACTGTCATGTACTGGGTCCATCTCCCTAATGTCAGCTCTATTTTACTGGTTCCATCTCCCTAATGTCAAGTGTCATGTACTGGGTCTATCTCCCTAATTTCAACTATTTTGTACTGGGTCTATCTTGCTAATGTTAACTTTCTTGTACTGTGTCCATCTCCCTAATGTCAACTCTCTTACTGGGTCTATCTCCCTAATGTCAACTCTTTTGTACTGGGTAAATCTCCCTAATGTCAACTCTTTTGTACTGGGTCTATCTCCCTAATGTCAACTCTTTTGTACTGGGTCTATCTCCCTGATGTCAACTCTTTTGTACTGGGTCTATCTACCTGATGTCAGGGAGCATACTAATGACCCAAAGATGATTTGGATGGCAAGTCTACAGGAATCACATTTTTTTTTAAATTCTTTGTTATTGCTATAAACACTATAAAAAGATTCTGGGAATACCAGGGACAAAGAACAGAAGAAACACCGGCAGCCTGACAGATCTGAACACCAGGGACAAAGAACAGAAGAAACACCGGCAGCCTGACAGATCTGAACACCAGGGACAAAGAACAGAAGAAACACCGGCAGCCTGACAGATCTGAACACCAGGGACAAAGAACAGAAGAAACACCGGCAGCCTGACAGATCTGAACACCAGGGACAAAGAACAGAAGAAACACCGGCAGCCTGACAGATCTGAACACCAGGGACAAAGAACAGAAGAAACACCGGCAGCCTGACAGATCTGAACACCAGGGACAAAGAACAGAAGAAACACCAGCAGCCTGATAGATCTGAACACCAGGGACAAAGAACAGAAGAAACACCGGCAGCCTGACAGATCTGAACACCAGGGACAAAGAACAGAAGAAACACCGGCAGCCTGACAGATCTGAACACCAGGGACAAAGAACAGAAGAAACACCGGCAGCCTGACAGATCTGAACACCAGGGACAAAGAACAGAAGAAACACCGGCAGCCTGACAGATCTGAACACCAGGGACAAAGAACAGAAGAAACACCGGCAGCCTGACAGATCTGAACACCAGGGACAAAGAACAGAAGAAACACCGGCAGCCTGACAGATCTGAACACCAGGGACAAAGAACAGAAGAAACACCAGCAGCCTGATAGATCTGAACACCAGGGACAAAGAACAGAAGAAACACCGGCAGCCTGACAGATCTGAACACCAGGGACAAAGAACAGAAGAAACACCGGCAGCCTGACAGATCTGAACACCAGGGACAAAGAACAGAAGAAACACCGGCAGCCTGACAGATCTGAACACCAGGGACAAAGAACAGAAGAAACACCGGCAGCCTGACAGATCTGAACACCAGGGACAAAGAACAGAAGAAACACCGGCAGCCTGACAGATCTGAACACCAGAGAAGATTGGCTAGTAAACAGCATATTGTCTCAAGAGCTGGAATATTGTGCCCATACCAAGCGTCTCTGGGGATTGGAAGACAAACATAGCCAAAGGCAGGCTACCAGGAAGGAGGGGCAGGGGTCGACCAGCACGAAGATGGGCACAGAATGTAAGTGGCACCTTGAATAGGAAAGTGCACGAGGCGGGAGAGCTGGCAAAAGTCTGTCTCTTTCAGACTTTGAGGAGAGCGACATTCTGTAAAGGACTTGCTTCATGATAATAATGATCTGCATTGTGAAGACAGAAACAGCGAGATCCACTGGAATCAGTATTTATAAAGCATCTGTTCAAGGGAGGTAACACAACAACTGTGCCTGGGCAGTAAAAACAACAGTTAGTGAACTTGATTAATGTGAACCCGCCTGTATCAGCACATAAAGCCAAACCGAGGTGGTCACCACACAGGGTGCTGGGGGGGGGGGGCAAGGTGCTGGTGGGGGCATGGTGCTGGTGGGGGCAGGTTGCTGGTGGGGGCAGGGTGCTGGTGGGGGGGGGCAGGGTGCTGGTGGGGGCAGGGTGCTGGTGGGGGCAGCGTGCTGGTGGGGGACAGGGTGCTAATGGGGGCAGGGTGCTGCTGGGGGGCAGGGTGCTGGTAGAGACAGCGTACTGGTGGTGGGCAGGGTGCTGGTGGAGGTAGCGTGCTGGTGGAGGGAGGGTGCTGGTGGAGGAGGGTGCTGGTGGAGGCAGGGTGCTGGTGGAGGCAGGGTGCTGGTGGAGGGAGTGTGTTCGTGGAGGAAGGGTGCTGGTGAAGAGAGGGTGCTGGTGGAGAGAGGGTGCTGGTGGAGGGAGGGTGCTGGTGGAGGGAGGGTGCTGGTGGAGGGAGGGTGCTGGTGGAGGCAGCGTGCTGGTGGAGGCAGGGTGCTGGTGGGGGCAGGGTGCTGGTGGAGGGAGGGTGCTGGTGGGGGCAGGGTGCTGGTGGGGGCAGGGTGCTGTTGGAGGGAGGGTGCTGGTGGGGGCAGGGTGCTGGTGTAGGCAGCGTGCTGGTGGAGGCAGGGTGCTGGTGGAGGGAGGGTGTGGTGGAGGCAGGGTGCTGGTGCCGGCGAAGGTTACACGAAAGACATGGGGAGACAGGCCACACTGACGGGACACATGTATCCTCCCAACCCTTTATTTCCCCCATTATATCTGTCTATTAGGAGGAAGACACCAAGAAAGCGGGAAAAGACAGACAATGTATAGGCAGAGAAAAGGATAGAGCGATATACAGTCAGAGAGAATACGAGGCATACCGACAAACAGAGAAGAAGGGGAAAGACTGGCTGGCAGAGAAAGACATAAAGAAGAGGAGAGAGACAGACCGAAGAGGAGAGAGACATAAAATTGCAGACAGGTAGACAGACATACCAACAGACAGAGAAAGACATAGGTGGCGAGAGACAGAAAATGGGAGACAAAGAGACAGATGAAGAGACAAAACAGTCTGTGCTGCTCACTTTGATAATATTCTCCATCTCCTTCTTGTCGATGGTTTGGTTACCGTCAATGTCGTACATGGAGAAGGCCCACTCCAGCTTGTCCTTGGGGTTGCCCTTGTTGGAGGTGATGTTGATGGCTAGTAGAAACTCCTTGAACTCGATAGAACCGCTTTTATCTTTGTCGAAGGAGCGGAACACGTGCTCACAGAAAGCTTCCGGGTCACCGCCAGGGAAGAACTGCGAGTAGACTTCTTTAAACTTGTCTTTGGAGAGGTTTCCATTTGGGCAGTCCCTCTGAGGGCAGACAGACAGGCGTTGGTTTGTTTGTTTGTTTCAGTGGGGTGACAGTACACGCAGATAATCGTCAGTGAAATGAAGAAGGCACACAGATATTTGTACATGAAGTGATAAAGACACAACTTCATTTGTGTGTGAATGAAGTGACGAAGTCACAGAGGTATGAATGAAGTGACGAAAGCACAGTTATTTGTGAATGAAGTGACGAGAACACAGTTATGTGTAGATGAACTGAGGAAGGCACAGTTATCTGTGAATGAAGTGATGAAGGTACATAGTTATTTGTGAATGAAGTGACGAGTAAAAGTCAGACAACTGTGGCTTGTTGTCAGACAATCTGACGTAGCACAGACACACAACATGACGTAATACAGGCATATAATATAATATAACGTACAGACAACATGGTTTTACACAGATAGACTATTCATACATACAACACAATCTACAACGGTAGATAACATGGTACCACATAGACTACACCAAAACACAGACTACACAGAGGCATAGAACAGACATGTTACAACACAGACAGACAACATGTTACAACACAGACAGACAACATGTTACAACACAGACAGACAACATGTTACAACACAGAAAGACAGCACAGACATACCATAAAGCCCTTGTACCACTGTTTGATCTCATCCTTGCTAAACTTTGTGTTCTGCTGCAGGAATTTCAGGTCCTCCTTGGACAAGTGAGACATGCCTTTCCCCATCTTGCCCTTTCGTTATGTCTGATGAACCAAGTAGAAATCTGTTTGGTCTCAATGTCCTCACAAATCTGGCCTCTCTAAGCCGGAAGTGAGAATGGCCTAGATATTTGCCTTGTGTCAATGAAAGGTGGCGGAAACTCTGGGGGAGAGAGACATAATTTATCAGGTTAATAAACCAAACGCTGCCTAATTGTGATATAATCGTCCAGCCAGCCCGTGGTGGAAGACAGGCTAGTGAGATATAACAGGGTTCCCGTGGGTGGGTCCCTGGATCTTTCTTGAGTCGAGAATTTTCCGCTGTCCGTATCGAAAGTAGAGGATGGGTATCGATCCCCGAGGGAAAATGAGCGAACATCAACAGCGTCTAGGACACTCAGTCAACGGAAAACATGCTCTTAAACAGGGTTAGAGAAATGATTGAATGTCTCTTTATGTTTGTGCGTGTTTGCGTACGTCTGTGTATGTATGTGCATGTTTGCGTTTGTGTGTGTTTGTATATGTTTGTGCGTGTCTGTAAATGTTTGCTGGGTGTCTGTATGTCTGTGTAAATATGCTTGTGTGTATGTGCATGTGTGTGTCTGTATGTCTGTGTAAATCTGCTTGTGTGTATGTACATGTGTGCGTGTCTAGTCTGTATATTTTTGTGTAATCTGTACATGTTTGTGGGCGGCGATGTTTGTCTGTGTAAGTCTGCTTGTTTGTGTGTGTCGTCTATATATTTTTCTGTAATCAGTTTATGTTTGTGTCTGTGTGTATCTCTCCCCCCCCCCTTTTCTCTCTCTCTCTTTCTTTATATATATATATATATATATATATATATATATATATATATATATATATATATATATATATATATATATATATATATATATATATATATTTATTTATTTATATGCTGACCACATCACCCATCAAGTACCGATTTGTCAATAAAAATATAAGTCTAACCCCATATTGCAAATGCGTCTAAAGCTGTGGAAAGTAACTTTAACTTCGACATGATTGTGTCACATAGCTAGCTTTTAAAAGCTGACATCACATAGCTAGCCTATAAAAGCTGACATCACATAGCTAGCTTATAAAAGCTAACATCACATAGCTAGCTTATAAAAGCTGACATCACATAGCTAGCATATTAAAGCTGACATCACATAGCTAGCTTATAAAAGCTGACATCACATAGCTAGCTTATAAAAGCTAACATCACATAGCTAGCTTATAAAAGCTGACATCACATAGCTAGCTTATAAATGCTGACATCACATAGCTAGCTTATAAAAGCTGACATCACATAGCTAGCTTATAAATGCTGACATCACATAGCTAGCTTATAAAAGCTGACATCACATAGCTAGCCTATAAAAGCTGACATCACATAGCTAGCTTATAAAAGCTGACATCACGTAGCTAGTTTGTAAAAGCTGACATCACATACGTGAGATCTTTAAAATGTTAGAGACAAACCAAATGGTTACTCTCCGAAAACTGAAATTAACATTGAAATCACAATGTAGTAATGACAATTGAAAAAGGAGTCTGAAAAAAATTGTAAGAGCCACTGGGTTCACTTTCAGGAAAACTGCAGTGGAAGGAATATTATTTGTGAAAAGCCACATTTGCAATAACAAAAAAAAAAAAAAACCTGAGGCAGATCCATGAGCTACGGAGGCGAGGCGATGATATTCTATTTTTGGATCAACCCTGGTAAATGCCCACCATACCTATCCTAAAAAATGGCAGTCAATAAACAGTGAACAGAAAAGAAACATTTCAAGCAGAAAAGAAACATTCCAAACAGAAAAGAAACATTCCAAACAGAAAAGGCCACCGCATGATATTCACTTTTGCAGGAAGCAGTGGAAAAGGTCTTATCCATAATACTGGACTTAATTTCTAATCAAAAAGTACGAATGGTAGGGACTATCACACTGAAATTTAGGACAGACCATTAGTGATAGTGATTATTGATTAGAAAGGATTATCATCACAGCACTCCGGACAGATCCATAGGTGCTCCCATCCCCTCCTCAAAAGCTCCACAAGTGTAAAACGACTGATGACGCCTGTTCTGTGTTGGTTACTGAAACGTCTTGTACCCTTAGTGAAATGTTAATTTCTTGCAGCTCCAGGCTGCAACCCCATGTCCATCAATCTAGACAGGGATACGGAGTCATGTCCTTTGGCGTGCTCCACGGTACGGTAAGTGCAGTGCATGGCATTTGTTGAATCCTCTAGTTCACTGACCACCAGATGATGTGGAAGATACAAAACACCCCACATATATCAACCAAGACAGGCGCTGACAGAGATCGTGACATTGCTTCCAAAAAAGTGCATAGGTCAAAGACATGCGCCAGCAGACAAGGCCATGGAGATTTCATATCGTGTTGACACATACCAGATATATATGCTCCGCTTTAGGTTAACATCATCTCTAGCCATGACTGACAGCCTAGTCCGATGTCCACATATGTGGTTGGATCCAGCCCCGCTGGTGTGGGACCGGTCCACGCCTAAATGTAACCAGGAAACGACACAAAGCAGCCGACACGGAGAAAATTACAGACCTATTGTCAGATCGCCGGCGCGGGAAATGGAAAGTAAACACAGGCAAGGGAGATAAATGACGAACCGGCGGGATACTGACGGCCAAACAAAACACGTCCAGTTCCACGGGGCTAGCCTTGGTGACAGTTCCATGTTTGCTATTATTTCCCACTTGGGAGTCATTTTCAATCTTTGGCACTGGGCCTGTGTCACGTCAGCCCCTCACCACCACCACAACCTTGTCACGTCAGCCCCTCACCAACACCTGTGTCACGTCAGCCCATCACCGTTACCACATGTGTCACGTCGGTCCCTCACCACCACCGCCACCTGTGTCACGTCGGTCCCTCGCCACATGTGTCGCGTCAGCACCTCACAACCAACAGTGTCACGTCAGTCCCTCACCGCCACCCGTGTCACGTCAGTCCCTCACCATCACAACCGGCGTCACGTCAACCCCCCCCCCCCCCACCACCACCTGTGTCACGTCAGCCACACCACTGCCATCTGTGTCACGTCAGCCCCTCACCACCACCGCCACCTGTGTCACGTCGGTCCCTCGCCACCTGTGTCGCATCAGCCCCTCACAACCACCAGTGTCACGTCAGTCCCTCACCACTACCACATGTGTCACGTCAGTCCCTCATCATCACCATCTGTGTCATGTCAGCCCCTCACTACCACTTATGTCACGTCAGTCCCTCACCACCATCGCCTGTGTCACGTCAGCCCCTCACCACCATCGCATGTGTCACGTCAGTCCCCTTTCCACCACCTGTGTCACGTCAGTCTTCATAACCACATGTGTCACGTCAGCCCATCCTCATCACCGCCGCCTGTATCACGTTAACCCCTAGCCGCCGCCTATTGTGTCACCACAGCCCCTCACCGCCACCACCACCTGTGTCACGTCGGTCCCTTACCAACTGTGTCACGTCAGTCCCTTACAAACGTCGGTGTTACGTCAGCCCCTCACCACCACATGTGTCACGTCGGTTCCTTACCACCTGTGTCACGTCAGACCCTTATCACCACCTGTGTCACGTCAGTCCCTCACCACCACCGTCTGTATCGCGTGAGTCCTTCAGCACCACCACATGTGTCACGTCAGCCCCTCACCACCACTACCTATGTTCCGTCAGCCGTTCATTACCACCACTGCGCCACGTCAGCCCTCGTCACTGTCGCACGTGTCACGTCAGCCCCTTACAACTACCTGTGTCACTTCACTTCATCACCATCTGTGTCACGCCAGCTCCTCACCACCATCGGTTATCACGTCAGCCCCTTCCCCCCAAACACATGTGTCACATCAGCCCTCACAACCACATGTGTCACGTCAGCCCCTCACCGTCACCGCCACAGGTGTCACGTCAGTCTCTCATCACCACCAGTGTGTCACGTCAGCCCCTCACCACCGCCTGTGTCACGTCAGCCCATCACCACCACCACCTGTGTCACGTCAGCCCCTCACCACCACCGCCTGTGTCACGTCAGTTCCTCACCATCACCATCTGTGTCAAGCCAGCTCCTCACCACCATCGCCTGTGTCACGTCAGTCCCTTACCACTACATGTGTGACGTCAGCCCTCACAACCACCGGTGTCACGTCAGCCCCTCACCACCACCACATGTGTCACGTCAGTCCCTCACCATAACCACATGTGTCACGTCAGTCCCTCACCACCACCGCATGTGTCACGTCAGTCCTCTCCACCACCACATGTGTCACGTCAGTCCCTCTCCACCGCCACCACATGTGTCACGTCAGTCCATCACCACATGTGTCACGTCAATCCCTCATTACCACCATATGTGTCACGTCAATCCCTCGCCACCACCACATGTATCACGTCAGTCCATCACCACATGTGTCACGTCAATCCCTCATTACCACCACATGTGTCACGTCGATCCCTCATCACCACCACATATGTCACGTCAGCTCCTCACCACCACCACCTGTATAACGTCAGTCCCTCACCACCACCACACGTGTCACGTCAGCTCCTCACCACCACCATCACCACCTGTGTCACGTCAGTCCCTCACACCACCACGTGTGTCACGTCAGCTTCTCACCACCACCTCCTGTGTCACGCCAGTCCCTCACGCACACCACACATGGGGTCACGTGCAGTTTTCCTCACCACCACCGCATTGGTGTTCGACGTCCAACCCTTCACGCACCACCACATGTGTCACGTCAGCTCCTCACCACCAACCACCTGGTGTCACGTCAGCTCCTGCACACCACCACACTATACGCCGTGATTTGATACATACAGGTCAGCACCTTACTCCTGACGGTGATTTCTGCATATAAACTGGTCCTACATTTTCTAGTCTGTGAAATTTTTTGAAGAGCCGATTATAATATCCCGTGTATGGAGGAAGGGGGACAGCCCTCTCTTATGTGCTTTCGGGGGGACCGACTACCCCCTAGTATGACCCCA